CTCAGCAGCCATGTTTCCATTTAATTATACCTGCATCTCTTTAGAAAGTGGTTATATTAAAACCTTGGCTGTTTGCTGATGGTAGAAATCTTCTACCCTCACCACAAATGAAAGACAAGGGCATTTATTTTAAAATACTTTAAATAGATGAACTGATCCCAAAGCCTGCCAGACCCCGTTTGGAAGAGGCGCATGTTAATGGCATGTTTATACACTTAGCAAAATCAACTTCAGGAGTCCCAGGCATTGGGAGCCAGCACCCACACCAGCTTGTAGAGACATGCTGTGTCAAGGGCACAGTGTCCCACTGTGTGGACACCCACTTGCTCACTGGTTTCCACTGGGTTCCTGGCAGCAGCACCCATGGGGCTGGATGGGCTGCCTGGCAGGACCACTGCCCTGGGCACCAGGCAAAGCTGCTGGAGAGGCTGCTCTTGATGGGCTGGTGGGGTTGGGATGACCCCAGCACCCAGGGTAAAGCTGCTGAAGGCCCAGCATGTTTTGGGGGTCTGTGTGGTGCAGGAGAGGCAGGTCCAGTGGGAAGCTCTTCTGTCTAGTCCATCTCCCTCAGCACCTTTGCTTTTCCTTCGCCTTCCAGGAAATTCCCCTTCGTCCCAACACAGCAATTTTGGTCTACTGATTTTTTTTTTTAAGGTCCATTCTACTCCTACCTTGGGGAGTTAACCACAGGCATCTTGTTTTGGATGAAGGCAGTCTTTCTGTCCATAATTCTCATCACCTTTCATAAATAATTTCATGCTGAGGTGTCTGACTTCACCCTGTACATCTCCACGGCTGGGGTGGCAGCAGTTGCAGCGTGATATGGGACTGGGGTAAGGGGCCATCACTTACCAGTGTCACTGACTGACGGCACTCATGCAGCTCCCTCCCTCTCCTGCGCCTGCTAGGGCTGTGCTGTGAACCAGGCCAAGCCAAATTACCCATTTTCAGCCTTGGCTTTTCAGCCATCTGCATCCAAGCAGTCAACCTATTGGACAGGTTGGTGCCCCCAGTAAGATGTTGTGGGAGTCACACAAACTCCTTGGGTCTGAAGCTGTAGTGTAACTTGCTGTTTTCCTTGTCACAGATTTCATCTTCCAGAAGGAACTGTTTGCTGCCAGAGACACAGGTGAGCTGAGCGGGCCATGGCACAGGTTTTGTGGATTAACCCCCCTCTTGGGGAGCTCAGCAGGACATGCCTGAGGCATACCATAAACCCACTCTCATCTCTGAGGCAGGGCACTGGCTCCATGCCATGCTGTTCTAGCAGCGAGTGCTGTGTGTGCATCACTGCTGGGCTCTGCAGCCCCGTTCCCCCAGAAGACCTTTGGTCTCTGTGTGCCTCTCCGGGGCACATGAGGTCTGTGCTCCTGCCAGGATGCAGTTTCTGGCCCTGCAAAAAAGGACCATCTCACCCTGGCCAAAGGGCTGTCCCTAGACATGACCCTGCTTCTCTCTCTGCAGCCTCTGTGCCTCCTCTACTGCTAAAAAAGGGACACAAAAACTGCCTCCAGAGAACTTCTGGGGGAAGGCTGTAGTGGCAGAGAAAGACCAGGAATGCCATGAGATTTTTGAGCACTAGCCAAGAGCAATGATGGCCTGGGAAATTGAGAAGGCAGCAAATGCTGCCAGCACAGGCCGGCAAGTCTGATATTCTCCCTTTCTTTCCCCATTCCCCTTGCAGACTCCATGCACAACCTTTCTGCTCAGCCCTGGCAGGCAAAGATGGCCAACCTGACCTATGACAACTTCACCCTGGGCAACCACTCCGAGGTGGCCATCCAGCCTCCCACCAACTACAAGACAGTGGAACTGGTTTTCATTGCCACAGTCACTGGCTCGCTCAGCCTTGTCACCGTGGTGGGGAACATCCTGGTGATGCTCTCCATCAAGGTGAACCGACAGCTCCAGACCGTCAACAACTACTTCCTCTTCAGCCTGGCCTGCGCAGACCTTATCATCGGGGTCTTCTCCATGAACCTCTACACTGTCTACATCATCAAAGGCTACTGGCCGCTGGGGGCTGTGGTGTGTGACCTGTGGCTGGCTCTGGACTATGTGGTGAGCAATGCCTCTGTCATGAACCTGCTCATCATCAGCTTTGACCGGTACTTCTGTGTCACCAAGCCCCTGACGTACCCTGCCAGGAGGACCACCAAGATGGCAGGGCTGATGATTGCAGCCGCATGGATATTGTCCTTCGTTCTCTGGGCCCCTGCCATCTTGTTCTGGCAGTTCATTGTGGGCAAGAGGACAGTCCCTGAGAGGGAATGCTACATCCAGTTCCTCTCCAACCCAGCAGTGACCTTTGGCACGGCCATTGCTGCTTTCTACCTTCCCGTAGTCATCATGACAGTGCTGTACATCCACATCTCCCTGGCCAGCAGAAGCAGGGTGAGGAGACATAAGCCTGAAAGCAGGAAAGAGAGGAAAGCCAAGTCCCTCAGGTTCCTCAAGGGCCCCCTGGTCAAACAGAACAATAATAACTCTCCCAAGAGGGCTGTGGAGGTGAAGGAGGAGGTGAGGAATGGGAAAGTGGATGACCAGCCATCAGCACAGACAGAGGCCACTGGCCATCAGGAAGAGAAGGAGACATCTAATGAGTCCAGCACTGTCAGTATGACCCAGACCACAAAAGACAAGCCTACAGCAGAAATCTTGCCAGTGGGACAAGGACAGAGCCCATCCCACCCACGGGTGAACCCAACTTCCAAGTGGTCCAAGATTAAGATTGTCACCAAGCAGACTGGGAGTGAATGTGTTACCGCCATTGAGATCGTCCCAGCTAAGGCTGGAGCCTCTAACCACAACTCCCTGGCCAACAGCCGCCCAGCCAATGTTGCCAGGAAGTTTGCTAGCATTGCCAGAAGCCAAGTACGGAAAAAGCGCCAGATGGCAGCCCGAGAGAAGAAAGTCACCCGCACCATATTTGCTATCCTGCTAGCCTTCATACTCACATGGACTCCATACAACGTGATGGTCCTCATTAACACCTTCTGTGAGACCTGTGTACCTGAAACAGTGTGGTACATTGGCTACTGGCTCTGCTATGTCAACAGCACCATCAACCCAGCCTGCTATGCCCTCTGCAACGCCACTTTCAAGAAAACCTTCAAGCACCTTCTCATGTGCCAGTACAGGAACATTGGCACAGCCAGATAAACTGGCACTCAGGGACCACTTCAGTAACATTATGGAAGCCCTTCCCTTTGCCTCCTTTGCCAGCAGGGGTTCCTCTGCTCCCCACTCACAACGGTGCAGACTGTGCAGTGATTGCAGATGATGCCCTTCATCTAATGCTGACAAAGATCCAAGGCACCTCTGAGCTGCAAGTCCTTCCAGGGCCTGGGGACTAGCCTGGGGAGCCAGCAGGAAAGCCAGAGGCAAGAGGAGGAGATGTGGTCACCAGGAGCCCTCCCCAGCTCCATACTCTTGAGATTGGCCAAATGGCATCAGTGTTTCTCCTAAGACTGGATGCAACTTCTCCCCTGGCTGACTGTCTCCAGGGCATCAGAGCTTGTCTGCATGCAGATGGGCTAATGCTGGATGCTTTCAATGGGCTTTTAAAATGTTTATTACCCAAGAAATGAAAAGAAACCAGGGCCAAGACATCTTGTACCAGGCTAGCTCAGACATGCTAATGGGGAGCCCTACTGGCTCAGCCAGGCCCCCTCCCAAGGCAGGCAAGATTGCACCCTAACATGTGGCAAACTCCTTCCTTTCTCCTCAGAGTGCCATCGGGCATCCTCATGCAGGGACCCAGGGTAGAATTTTTCCCTGGACTTTGGCTCCACTGTCCTCTTCATGCCCTTTCTGTCCTCAGCCAGCAAATGCCTGGACAAACAAGCCAAGTATCTCACTCCTGGATGAGGAGTGTGAAGTCCAGTCACCTCCTGTGGTGATGGAAACTAAAACTGCAAAGAAAGCAGTGGTGTGGTGCAGGAGTTAGCTCCACAGCCTGGGGAACGTGGCCCCTGAGAAGTGGGCGGCAGTGACTGTGAAATTAACTGTCCTTGGGTGGGACAGGTGGGACCTGGGGGCCTTGGAGGCAAGTGGGAAGAGAGTTTACCATGTGGCCGAGTTGCCTTGTGTTTCATCTGGACCATGAGCAGGTCCCCAGTCTCCCCATGGTGGGTGTGGGAGGCCTGGTGCATGGCTCTGGAGGCTGGAGAGGCCCTCTCCTGCCCCGGATGCAGCAGGATGCTCCAGGGAGGCTGAAGGAGCCAGTTGCTGAGCTTTGTAAATGGATGTAATGCTGTCGTGGGTGTTGTGGCAGAGCCCTCAGCATGCGGGCTTCAGCCAGCGTCCCAGCCTCCGCCCAGCCCCGCTGTGTGTGCAAACCCAGGCCATCCCAGGACTGCTGCTCAGCTTCTTCCAAAGCCAGGTTTCTGGAAGCATTGGTGGACACAGCCAGGTGTAGACAAGGAATGGGACAGGGCCACTCTAGCACTGGCAAATTTTGATTCCATATTTCTTTCCCATCCTCACACCAGGATGATGCTGTGTAACCTGGAGAAAGGCTGCCCCAACCCGGATGGAAACCCCTCCACCACTGCCTTTAGGATAATTCACACAGGTGTGCCCAAAATGCCTGGTGGGCTTCTGGGTATATTCAAATGGTTACAACTGTGGCCCAACCCATCCCATCCCAAGACAAATAAAGACCTTGAATCAGAAAACAACAGCTACAGTGTGAGGAGTAAATGAGTCATCACCTGGGTGCTCCTTCCCAACTTCCCAGTGTCAACTACCGGTGACATTTCCTGCAGTGTGGGTGGCAGCTCTATCCCTTCTGTCGAGGTTAAGGTGGGGCAGCCTGAAGCACTGCTGAGAAGAGGCTGTGAGGTCTGACCCATGTGTTTTCTCCAGGACCATGCTCGTGTGGCACCCAGGCAACCACTGCCAGTTGCACAGTAACTTCACTGGTGGTCCTGGTGTGGCCAGCAAAGCTGGGGTTTGCTGGGGTTTCCAGCACAGCAGCACTTCATGGGGTCAACAGGTTGGTTCTGATACTTTTTAAAAAAAGATTTTTATTGGAAAAGAAAACAAACCCCATTTCCAGAAGGAGTGAGAGCTCCCACCCAGCACCAGTGTTGGTGTGGCAAAGGCAGAGGGGCTGCAGCCCTAGTGTGAACACACATGGTTAGAAGGGATAGAGAGGAGACACAGTGGTTCCTGGGGGTGATGGTTGTGTTTACCTCAGCTGCAGGTAACTTGTGCCCTAGCCAAAGGGATGCTAGAATAAGCCTCCTGAGCTGAGAGCAGTCCTCAAGTGAGTAAGGGGCAGGAGTAATAGAGTTACTCTGGCATTCAACACCCACCCCTTCCCTCTGTCACTGGTAGCTGGTGGAGGAACAATAAGGCTCCTGGACTTGCCAAAGGATGTGCTAAAGGCAACTCATTTGTGCTGGAGGGTGGAAAAATGTGTGTTCCCATCCCAGCTCTCTGGGCGCATCCCATGAACCCCAACACAAGCTGAGAGAAGATGAGTGAGAGGCATTGGCAGTGGCAGTGGGGTGGCAAGGACGGAAGCAGCCTCTCCTGCAGGATGGGTGGATGGGTTTGCTCTCTACAACACTAATGATTAAAACAAGGCATCTCAGAGAAACAGGAGGTCATGGAAAGGAGGAAGGAGAGGAGAAGGAAGACTGTAGCATGGGCCAGCTGCAGCTGGGCATCCAGTCCTGTAGGTACGATGTTTAGGGGCCGATGAAGATGATGGCTTCCTGTTCTAGTCCTTCCCCTTGCCTTTCTTTGCTGCATTCGAGAAGCGCAGGAGACAAGAGTTAGTGTATCTGCTGGAAGTCACTGGTGCCCCAGACAGAGCTGTGGTAGAAATGTAGCCAGCACAGCCAGCATGGCACAGCACAGCGGCTGACACATCCTGGCAGGAGGCCACCCACCATGTAAAACCATGTTTTTCACTAGTCCCAGGGAGGAGAGCAGGGGATCCCCATCCCACCAAAACTGGCAGTGACTTGCGGGGGGACCGGGGTTTTTCCTAGCAGCACTTGCATCCCACCCAGCCAGCAGCTGCACTTTGGGGTTGTCATGTGTGCAGCTGCAAAGGAAAGAACAACCTATGTAATCCCCCGCACCACCAGCAAAGCTCAACTCCAATGGGCCAAGATATCTCTGAAAAACCCTTGCCTAGGGTCCCAGCAGGACCCTTCTAGGGACAGGAGTAGTGAGAACTGACCTTTGGACTTTGACTTGATCTTGGAAGAGCAGGGCTTGGTCACAGAGACGATCTCCTCACACTGGGCATTGTACAGGGCTTTCTTCAGGATGCCTGAGCGAGTCTTCAAGCCTGTCTGAGCACTACACCCTCCCCAGCTCTCAAACTTGTACTTGCAGTCAGCTGGATGAGAGGGGACAGGCATCAGAGCTATTTAGGACCTGGTGCGGGCATCAGCTCCCATCACCTGCCCCAGCATGGTCCCCAGCCACCCTACCTCCATGTACCCACCTCCAAATTTCTTCTTCCAGTTGCAGGGGATCTTGCACTTGAGCTTCTTGCTCTCATCTTTGCAAGTTCCCTCACGGTAGCCCAGGCCACAGTCCTTACTGTTGGGAACACAAGGTCCCCAGCGCCAATCCTCACACTTGGAGCCATCCTTCTTTGCTTTCTCTGTGAGGAAAAGAGGAGTGGGTGCTCTCTGCAAGGACAGAAGAGCACGCCCCAGGCTGCCCCCACCCGACTGGCTCCCTGCCCCAGGCTGCCCCCTCACCTTTCTTGGTTTTGCCAGCCTCAGTGGTGGCAGCCAGCAGGATCAGTACCAGGAGGAGGAGGAGGCCTCGAACCTGCATCCTGCCTGGGAAGGAGGGAGAGGGTGAGGTGGGTGGGAGGTTGGGGTGCAATGTGGTGTCGAGCAGAGGGCATAGTGGGTTGTGGGCAGCCTGCGCGGGGGTAAGACAGCAGCTGCCTCCATTGCACACACCCCCCTCTACGTGTGTGTGTACACCCCTGTGCCCTGCTCATTGCCACCCATTAGAATATGTGCATTAATTGCAACAGGAAGGTTGATTGTGTAGCTCAGTAAGTGCCTCCCACCAGAGAGCTAGAGGGCTGAAAGATTGTTCCCATCCTTGCAGCCCCCTCATTGCCCTGTGTGTGGTTGAAATGCTCTCCATGGGGACCCCCACACTCCACACAGCAGCTGGGGAAGGTCCTAAAGTTGGGTGCCTGTGGATTCTTTATTGAGCACCCAGCAGGCTGTCCAGGGCCAGGGGGCACAGCCCCCATAATACCTTTCTCCAGTTCCAGAGGATGCCAGGGGGAAAAGAAAAAAGCCTGGGAAAAACAAACTTGCTGCCAGGCAGGGTCTGAGAGTTAAACCAATGGATTAAACACCAAAAAAAGCAGTGTGGGAGCTTGTTGGAGGGATGGAGTGGGAGTGCAGAGCCCACTGCTGGTGCCACCTATGCATGCAGGGGGGTGCACAGGTGTGCATGCACTTGGGAGCATGTTGGGGACAAGGGTGCACACACTTAAGGGTTTGACTCCTGGGACCCTGCCCTCAACCCCCTGCCCTGGTGGCCTTGGAACAGGTGACAGCTCCCCTCCAGCTGCCACCATGAGACTCTGTGGGATGCTGCTGGTAACACTGGTGTCCCAGCTTGTGCATATGTGCAGAGCTGGCATCCCCTTCCCTGCTCCACCAAAGTCCTCTAGGATGCCACCCATATCTGTGCGGCAGCAGCCAGCCAGAAAATAAATCGCACCTGCCCTGGCTCTACAATGGGCTTGATGCGCTTGGCAGGACTGGCCTCTAGAGGACAGGGTGAACTGCAGGCCCAAGAGGACATCAGTGCAGGGAAGAACCTGGGGTCAGTGTTTGCTCCCTGCCCCCAGGCTCCCCAGGCAGTGTGCCAGAGAGAGCAGCATCCCACATTATTCAGGCTCCAGTGCACTCACCTTTCATGCATCCGCTGCCAAGCTGCCGGCTTCGCTCTGCATTGAACTGTCACAGGGAATTACACAGACTGGCTGGCTAAGGGCACAGTCACAAGGGTGAGATCTGCCTTCCCCCTCACCCAGCCGGGCTGAGAGCCATCCTGCCAAGCACAGCTTGGCTCAGCTCTGTTCCCACCCACCTGCCTTCAAAGAGGACAAGAGCTCAGCCCAGATGGGTTGGTTATAGATGACAAGGCTGGAGCTGAGCTGTTACAGACACAGCTGTCCTGCTTTCTGCAGCAGCTCTTATAGGGCAGCATCTCTTATAGGGCAGCACCTCTGACATCTGCACATATTCACAGCATCTCTCTGGTTTCAGGTTCTCTGCAAACTTCTTCCATACTTGGCTGCAGAGCATTTCCCTGTGCTCCTTGCACCTACTTCCTAGCCCAGTGCCTTCTGCTCTGGCCCTTCAGACAAAGCCTTCAAGCCCCCAGGGCAGACAGCCCTAGCTGCCATGCTCACCCCTGCCTCCTTTCCAGGCATGGACACCGTCTGCTCCCTCTGGGTGCTGTGGGGCCCTGCCCATGTGTGCAGAGGGATGTGAGAAAGGGCACTCTGAGGGCAGACCAGCTACAGCTACTGGATCTGCTCCCAGGCTCTGCCTGGCACATCACATCTTCCAGGCAAAAGTCTGCTGAGATCTTCAGTCATGGCTCATCCTAATGCATTCACAAGGGAAAGCGAGTGCAGTTTTCCAACTGGTTTTCCAAATAGCCTGATCCCTTCTGAACACTACGCAGGGCCAGATAGTGCCACTGGCTTTTCCTAATGCAGGCCACACACCCTCCCCAGCTCCTCTCCCCTCGCTACTGCCCCGATGCACTCCAGGTAGCATGGCAGCTGCTGGGCTTGCAAGACCCCTTGCAGTCCCTTTTCCAGCAGTGGGACCTCTTGGCTGGGCTTAAATTGCAGATGGCTCTAGCAGAGGTGGGCACGGGACTGTGGTCCTGCCTCCGCGGGCTGAGCTGCTCTGGGCAGGGAGCCCAGCACTTGGGAAGCCCAGCGCTCGGGGAGCCTGTGGCCTGGAGTGCCAAGCACACAGAAAACATGAAGCTCCCTGCTGCCAGGAAAGGGGAGACTGAGCTTCTCCTCGTGAGCCAAGGCCTTAGCATGATCAGGAGGTTCTGCTGGAGGTGCTGAGGGGAGCAGACCCGGGGGGCTCTGGGGTTTTCCAGCAGGCGGCCTCACCTTCAGCTCGCGGGAGGAGAAGGTGCTCCAGGGAGAAAATGTTCTGCCCGTGCACTAGGGGCAGAGAGGGGAGCACCTCTGCTCTTTGCTCCCACACCAGAGTAGATGTTGTGCGTGGCCCCAGCACAACCCTTTCCCCTCGGCCCCCGGAGAGGCCGGCAGTGGCCGAGCCCCGCTCCGGGGCAGCTCCCCAAGCTCCAGTCGGTGCATCTCCCACCAGCTGAGCTCTCCCCGAGAGACAGTGGGGTGCTTCCCAAGAGGACTGGGGCTAAGACACCAGGCCACTGCTTCAACCCGTCTGCTCTCCAGGTGCCCTGAGTCCCTCCTAAACTCCATCCTCCTGCATCTCCGGGCTCTTTCCCAGTTCTCGCAGGCGATCCCGCACCCCAGGGTACGCCGCCCCCGGCACCCCTGCCCCAATCGCCCTTTTCTGCAGCTCCTCACCAGGCAGGACTGTGTTCTCCACCAAGGCAAAGCCCCTTCCCCCTGCGGGGAACCCTCAGCCTGGATTACTGCCGCCTCGCTGGGGAGGTGAGGGGGAAGTCGCCTCTCGCCTCCCCGAAGGCGCCCATCTCCGCGGCGTCGGGCGGGCAGTGCCGCCGTCCACGGGGGCTTGGGGTGGGGGCCCGACCCCGAGTGCTGGGGCTGGGGGGCCACACTCACCTGCGGTGCGGAGCGGAGCAGCGCGGTGCCGAGCTGCTGCCTTTGTGTGCCGGCCGCGTGCGGATCCCTGCGCAGCGCACAGCGGCCCCTGACGTCGGGCTCGGCTGGCAGCAAAACGGTGGGTTTTTAGCCCAAAACTTTTCGCAAGCTCCTCCTCTGCCCCCCTAGCCCCCCCGGCAGGCAGAAAGGCAGGGCGGCGGAGGGGGCAGGCTGGCCCCTCGGCCGGCGGGGAGGGGGGAACGCGGGCAGGCGGTGGCTCGCTGGTCTGGGGGGTGTGCTGGGCCCGGGGGCGTCAGGTCCCGCAGGGCACGGCCCCTGCCCCCTGCCCGGTCTCACCTTAACGCAGTGCTCTCCCACTCGCAGCCACTGCGCGGTACCAGGGAAGCTGCGAGGGTTCAGCTTACCACGCACCCCAATATCACTGAGTGGCCGAAGGGGTGCACAGCTGAACAGCCGGTTAGGGTCTCTCCTGGGGGCTGCCGCTCTGATACACGCTGGAAGGTGGTCCTGGGACCTCGGTGGAGTGAAGGGAACCACACCGTGTTTCTGCCAGCTCCGTAGATGCCTCTTTCCCCATCAAGGTCACTGGCATCGATGGACCGACCTTTCATGGTCTCTCCCTGCTTGCTCTGCCCCTCGTGGGAGGGCACTGGGGGGGAGGTAGTTGCTCAGTACCCAAAGCAGCACATCACTAACATGCTGGCCCAAGCATCTCTCCAGACCATCCCTTGTGACCTGCCTGCCGGTCCCCAGCTCAGCCATGCTGCAGCCCTTCTCCTTGGACCAAGCTGCGGTATCAGACTGCTGGTGGGGGATGAAAAGGACCTTGCCGACATGACTGCTCCCTTCCCCACATCTGCCCCCTTTTCTTAGGAGGTGAGCTGAGGCAGGGGCCAAGCCAATTTTCCTCTGGAGTTAGCAGTCAGAAAGGCGAGTGTCATGCCAGAAGAATTGGGCTGTGGTGGGGAATGGAGCCGTTTTGCCATCCTTATTCTGGAAGAAGGTTGCTGAAAGCAGGACTGGCACAGGCGGGGTTGCAGGGCAGGAGGGGCTGGTTTTTATGAGCTGCTTTGAAACCAACTCTCTTCTCGAGAGATCAGTGCATTTAACTCACACCCTGCCAGCAGTTTCCTGAACATCTGCAGAGGTTTTGAGGAGGCTGGCAAATGTGGGAACATGGAATCTCCCCTGCCTGCTGCATACACAGCAACAGGTACTGCTCTGGGTGGTGAGGGGTCTGGACATGCTGGGCTGTACGTTTGAGGCCAGGATGCAGAAATGGATCCTGACAGCTGGGCAGGTATCAAGGCCAACAGCCTCCCCCAATTGCTGGGCCTTTAAACTAAAGCTGAAGAAAGCTGCCAAGAAAAACTTCACTGTAAAAAAGATGGGGAAGGAGTTAGGTGTGCATCACGTTTGCAAGTCTGAGTTATGGGAATGTGATGAGCAAACCAGGGCCTGGTAGAAACCTTAAAGAACTAGATGTGGAGTGAGCAATGCTGCTTTTCTTCAGCTGTCTCTGGCCAGGAGCTGGAGATCTCGCTGGGGTCCCCAGGGCAGAGCAGCATAAGGTATGGTGAAATCCTGTGCAAACTTTCACTCCTTCCATTTCCAGCCATTCCCAATCCCCTCCTGTTGCCTTCTTGGGCTGGAGACCAGGAGACAAGTGCTGGCCATGCAGGAGAGCAGGGATGCATTGGTGCACATCAGTCTCAGCAGTGCCTGTGCTTGATCCCTTTGGGCCCTTTCTGAGGGATGTGGGGGAAGTGGCTCCTTCCCCAGCTCAAACAAGCAGCAGGCTTTGTTTGCAGAAGGGGCCTCATGCTGAGGGAAGGAGGAAAAAGAGGGAGTGTGACCAAACCAGGTGCATTTCCCCGCAATTACTCAAGCTTTTTACCTCTAAAAATGTCACAAGCTAATTCATGGCATGTCAGCTCTGCTTTGAACATTCCATCTTTGGTCAAAGCCTGCTCCTTGGGAAACTGATAGTGCACGGTGCAGCACTGCTGCACATTGGAGAGGGACAACGTTTTCCTTGTCGAGGTGTGTGGCAGGTAATCATTAACAGAGCCAACTGCTGTCATCCCAGCTTGCCTGCATGGCCTTCTCCAGCCTGCGCCCATGCACCCTGTGTATATATCCCCAGGTGTGTTTCCATCCCACAGGAGGGCAGACAGACCTCCAAACCTCCAACACCTGACTAAAAGGGAGAAAGGGGAGATACCAAGGCCCTCTGCCCCAAAGCTACACTGCCCCTTTCCTAACACCCCTCATCACAGTGATTATGTTACAGCTCCTCTTCCCCACCATATACCTGACACTGGGTCAGGTGCAAAAGTAATTGCCATGGTTACTGACAATCCTCACTGTTGAGACATAGGCCAAGTGTTGGGGTCTGGGCACTGAAGCAGATTGGGCCCCCTCCTCCCAGTTGCATGTAGGCCGGGTCCCAGGGGAGACCAGGACAATTTGGTGTGCCTTATACCTGCTACAGATCCCCACTGTTAGCTCTGGGCAGAAGCTGAAAGGTTGAAGATCATAAAGAGAGGCAGAGGGGTGGAAGGGGCAATGCAGCCGGGGAAGGAGGCTGCTTCTCCAAGCAGAGAGGGGGCAGCAGGAGCTCCAGGCAGGCTGCCAAACTGCCCTCAGGAATCCCAGTTCAAGGTACCAGTATAGCTCCTCATCACCCACCATGTCCATCTCTGGCTCCATCATCAGCACACCGCCAGCCAAAGTGATTACATCCCTTCTCCAAAGGAAACTATGCAGGAGAGATGGTGCTGGCTGCAGTCATCCTTATGAGTCTGGGGCTGGAAGCAGAAGTGTCCCTAATCCTCTGCTTTTGTAATTGGAGAGCAGTCCTCCCACCGGAGCGGCTGGTGGGAGAGATAATCCCTGCCCTCAGTGCTCAGCACTGGACACAGGACCAGTGGGAAAACAATAGGAATAGCCCCTAGCAGGCTCATCTCCTGCAGAGCAGCATGGCTAGGGACAGCTCACCACAAAAAAAGGCCAACAAATGGTTTTAAATTGGAGGCTGGATGCCACTGTAGTACCCACCACCCACCGATTGCTGTGGGCTGCACAGGGCAGGGCAGGGCAGCCGCTGGGGCTGCTGCCTTTGCCCCAGGGAGCAATAGCAGGCTGCCTGCTCCTAACTCACAATTCCAAGCCCTTCTGGATCACTTGGAATGGCAGTGCACTTTCTCCCTGTTCTGTGTTACACCGAGTATTGATGTATGACACAGAACGGGGGAGAAGGTCCCTAGGGACAAAGACCCCATATCCAGCAAAGTTCCAGAGGGATGCTGTGCAGGGAAGTGGACAAGGACCTGGGCCCACAGGGAACACCCAAGAGTACCCCCCAGGTTAGGATGGGGGTAGGGGCCTTGGGGTATGACCTTGTTTGAGCTGTGCAAGGCATCACTGGTGCAGTACCCTAAGGATTCTTGCAGATGCAGCAGGAGATGGGAACTAAAACATCAATCTCTTTATTTCAATGGCAAGAAACAACAACATCCAAACAGTCAAAGTTGAAAAGCAATGGGAACACAGGCTTGTGCCAGGCCCTGGACCTGCTGGAGCCAGCATCCTCACGGAGTTACAAAAATACAATCCTACAACAGCATCTAGGAAACACAGACCCAGGTATTGCACAGAACTCCTGCCCTCAGTGAGCAGGGCAACCAACGCCCCCTCCGTCTTCAAAATACCAGCAGGCTTGGAATTGCACAGCAACTCAGCTCACGCATGCACGGAGGGGCCAGGTGGGGAGGGGGACAGTGTGTCTCTCAACTACCTGTACAAAAACTATAAGGGAGAAAGGGAGAAGCTGGCGCTGTAGATGCCTCTGGGCCAAGCTGGGTGTCCCATCTGGGAGAGCAGTAGTGTGGACCTCTGAGAAGGTGACAGTGCCTTTTTTGTCACTGGCCTGCATCCCAACTCTGAATGCATTAAGATGCAAACATTATTAACTGCCAGTGCCACTAGCCCCTGCCACTCTGCACTGCCCTCTGCCTCTGTTCCCCACTACAGTATCCCCCATCCTCAAAGGGAACTCTCCTGGCCAAAAAACCTGAAGAGTATTCTGGTTCTCTGTGGTATAATCACCTTTTTTTGGTATTGGTATTAGGAGATTCAAATGGTGCCATCTGGCACTACCCAGTGGGCGCAGCTGGGTGTAAGTGCAGAGGGACTGTACAGACCCCACGCGGCAGCAGCAGTATCCTTTCCCAGAATCCAAGCTGTGAACAGCAACCCACTTCGCTGCCCACCTGAAAGTGCCAAGCAGGTTTGCCAGGCCCAGAGCTAATAGCTTTCCTCCTCTGCTGGTACCTCCTGGTCTCAGAGAATGCCAGTTCTCTAAAAGCCTTGCTGAAAGGCTGGCTTGATGCCTCTGCATCAAGTGTCCACTGCAGGGGAGATGGGTTGTGGTGCCTCATGCTCCATGGCAGGCCCCCCTGCAGGCGCGACTCAGGGCTGGGAGCCCATATGCTTCCCAGGTTCCTTGTTCTGGAGAAAAAACTGGAGACAGTGAGCTGGTGGCCTGCCCAGGGACTTTGTGCCTTGGCTGGGTGAGCTCTGAAGTTTTCCCTGCAAAGTCCTGTGCCCAGTTTAGGGAATGGCAGGACTTGGACTCAGAAGATGCATGTTGCCAGGTTGAGGGACATGGGGGGGAATCCCTGAGAGCAGCACTGACCCCAGCATTGATCCTCCAGCCCCATGCACAGACTAGCATTGAAGGGGAAACTAAACCAGGGAGGGAAGCTGAATCCAAGTCAGCATTTGGGAAATATAACAGGCTTCACCACAGGCACTACTCAGGGTCAAGTAGCTCTCCACCATGGCTACATGCTGCAGTAGGCTCACAGAGAGATGCCCAGCAGACACTGGGTGTGCGAGCTGTCCCACCCAGCCCTGTGGAGGGAAGGATGGTGGGACGGCTTGGTAGCCTTCCTCTGTGCCGTCCATACCCTGAGCCAGAAGAGGCAGGGGCAGCAAGTTGTGCTGCTTCCCTTGTGGCAAAGTCTGAGGCTCATGGCCTCTGCTGTCTGCCTGCAGAACCTGTGCCTCCTGCAGCTGTGCCAGACAGGAGAGGAGGAACAGGACCTGAACGTAGCCAAGCACCTAAAAGAGGGGCACTGCCAGCAGAGAGAGGGGCTGAGGAATGATATCCCACAAGGATCATAGGCAGGAGCCTGCAGAGGGGGCACTGGCATTACTCCCGTGCACAAGAGTGACTGGGGGTTTCAGCCTGGCTTGCCTCAATATGGCCAGGGGATAGAGCCCATCTAGGGCAGGGAATGTGGTGAATGAGAGGTGAAGGAGTGGATGCACAAAGAATCAGGCTTCAAGTCCGAAATACCCACTGTCCTCATAAACAGAGTCCCAGTCCAGCCTGGGGCAGAACTCTGCTGTATCCATCTCCAAGGACCAGGTTGACATCTAGGGAGGGTTGGGCCAGACTCATAGCTCTGTCAGTTGGCATTGTCCTCTTGTCCTACCCAAGCTGGCTTGGGCTAAGGCACGCCAAGCACTACACAGCTGTCTCCTGGTCCTCCCGCTGGATCATCTGGTAGTGCTGTCGGTTCTCGAGGTAGGCAGCTAAGTCAGGGTCATTGGCTTTCTCAGCACGGTGCTTTGGGGTGTCTCCCTGCATAGGGGAGGCAAGAAGTCAGTGCCAAACACTGCCTAAATACTGCCTTGGCACCCAAAGGTGCCCTCATTCCCCCATGCAACTGGGTCCAGCAGAGCCTGCAGCCAAGCCCCAAGGCAGGTGGTAGCCAAATGCCCATGTGCTCACCATGGGATGAGAGTGTGGTCCTGAGGAGCCTGACTGCTGCAGGACTGGAAACTGCCCCCTGAAGGGCCATCAGCTCCAGGCATGGCTAGGACAGAGACTGACCCTGGCCATCACCAGCCACCCAAGAGGAGACAAAGGCTCTTCCCCAAGACCTGCTCTTTCCCTACGCTGGGGAGGCAGGAGGGAAAGGGTGAGGAATGAGGGGTATGTCTGGGGAATGCCCAGGAATACCAACCCCCCTTCTCTCTCTCAGCCTGGCTAGCACTCCTGCTCGCTCCTGCTCCCAGAGGAGGATCACATTTCACCAGCTTATTGCAGCCATCTGGACTGTGTCCACTAATGAACTCCCGCACTCCATAAAAAGCAAATCTGTTAACAGCTCCCAGCTCCATCTCCTCTCCCTCCCCTTGCTCCTCCTCACCAAGTGCCCAGGCTCTGCTGTGCCACTGAGAAAAGCCACAGAAACCTGGCACTCTGCCACTGCCATTGAAAACCAAGGCTGGAAGGGACACTCGGCCTGCCCTATTCATCCCCCAGTGCCCAGCAGGCCACAGGCAGCTGCAGCAGGGTGCCTGGTCCTCCAGAGCAGCCCACAGCCACATTTCTCCATCAGGAACAATGATCAGACATGTGGAACCTCCACTGGGCCTGGATAGGGCTGCCCACAAAAGCCCACCCATGGCTGCACCAAGAAATCCCCTCTTTTGCATGTGCGCCCCAAGACTGGGCACACCCCATGGCCCTGCACACATCCCCCAGCAGCCACACCATCAGGGGGACGGAGACCACTCTGCTTTGGTGCTGGCTCTCCTCAGGGACCTCCTCCCCACAGCCCCCGAATGCAATCGCTCATTTAACGGAGGAGGAATTGAGCTTCTTTCCTGTCCCCCTGCAGAAGCCCCTCTGCAATGCTGCCTGCAGCCTGAAACCAGAGCTGCCAGGGCCTCTCTGCCCGGCTGGGCTCAGGCATGCCAACTGATAAGGTTCAGCCTCCCTCACCACTGCAGGGAGTGGGATCAGCCCACTCTGAACCTGTGCTACAGGTCTCACGCCGGAGTTTCTAACGAGGTGGGTCCTGCCTGTGCAGGCAGGTTGCGACCCAGAGCCCATGTGAGGTCAGTGCAGCGGCGCAGAGGGGTCCCCAGACAGCTACAAACCCTGACATGCACAGGCACGTGCAAGCCCACTCCCTGGGGCAGGCAGCATGCCTGAGTGAGGCTCCCTTTTGTGCTGGCCGGCTGGGGGCTGTTCCCTTCCTTCAGGCAAATGAGGGGGCTGGGGACAGAGAGGGGCTGTGCCCCCAGATCTGCTCTCTCCTCATGCCTCTGCCAGCCAAGTCTCCATCCAGCCCAGCCCCACTCTGGATGCTGTGCAAAGCCTAAGCCTTAGACAGGACCAAGGAATAGAGATGGGGAGCCAGAGATTATCTGCACAGCATCTCCCTGGCCACTGGCAAAGGGGGATTGTCTAAATTTGACCTCCAAGCTCCACCAGCTCCAGCAAGTTTGCACCCCTCAGCTGGGCTCTGAACCTGTGCCCCAGACCTGTCCAGATTGGACCTTCTTGGCTTGTTCTACATCTTTTCTCTTACAGGCCATCACTACAAGTCTCCACCAGACAGATCTGACCACATTCTCTCTGCTGCATGCCAGCCCTAGGAATCTCCTGTATCAAAATATGGCCTCAAGCCCCCCCCCTCCTTCTGCAGCATCTCTGCCAGGGCTGGCACAATTCCCTGATGCCAAGGCACAGCTCAATTAACACAGCATGTAAGGGAAAGTGCTGCCACTGCCTGCTCCTGCTCCCCACGGGCCAGCTTCACCCACTGAGAGGAGCTCCCAGCTCCCCCATCATGACTGCCTGTGGGGGAGAGTGGGGGGAGTCCTGCAGCTGGGAGGGAGCTTGCAGGGAGAATGTCCTTGCTCTGACCCCGGAGGGTGGGAAGGGGGAGACAGGGATGAGACATTCCAGCCCCTCGCTTCTAATTTAATAAAACAACAGGGAGAGAAGTGCAGCGAGGAGAGGGATTTAACCCCTCTGTAGCTGGACTCTGCTGGGCAAGCATGTGTGCTCCATGTCAGGTCCTTTCTGGCTGGCAAACACCCACCCAAAGCACCCTTGCTCTGCTCTCCTGCTGGCCCTGCTCCTGCCAGCCCTCTGGTCACCCCAGAAAGCCCCACTGCCACCCCCTCCACTGTCACCTGCAGGTCTGTCTTCATGAGCGAAGCCCCGGCCTCCACGATGTAGTGGCAGATAGTGCGCTGGCGTAAGGCTGCAGCCTGGTGCAAGCTGGTTTCACCGCTGGGGAGGAGAAAGCGGGAGATGTGAGATGTCCCCCCAAATGGGGACAAGCAGCACATGCAGGTGGCAGCGAGAGACAGCAATTCAGCGGCAGCAGAAGCTGATGGTGGGTTGTGTGCTTGTCCAGGAAGCCCTGGCAGAAGAGGGGGTGATACACAGGGGCAGTCAGTCCAAAATGGACTGGGAATCATGGCTGGTAATTAGAGCACAGGCAGCTGAAGTGCCCAAATGACCGGTCACCTCGCAGAGGGTCTGGTCAACAGGTAACACAAGTTGGTCAGCAACTTACTTCTCCTCCTCTGTGGCATCAAGGATTTCTGAAGGGGCTGTGGAAAGAAAGAGTGCAGGGTGAGACCCGCTGCAGGGCAGAGACAGACCTACCTACTCCCTAGTCACATTCTGCATTGTTCCATAGAGGCTGCTATTTTCATGCTGCCTGACAAAGTCCCAACTCCAAAGCACTCAAGTCAGCAACAGCATCTGAGCCCAGTTGATCCCAGGGAGGAAGTGTTGGTTGTGGACTCATTATAGAGAAATATCTAAATAAAGCAGCCTGTATTTCAGTGGGAGCTGAAAAAATTGGGAGCTGCCAAAAACAACAGGTCAGCTGCCCCGACGGCAGAAGCAGGACACTGAGAAATGTTTCTCAGAGACATGCTGGGTCCTGCCAGGATGCAGGAACAGCCGTGGGGACACCCCAGTACTGGCAAACAGATGCCAGAAGGGTGATGTAGCAAACCCAGAGGGAAGGGATCTAAGACTAGGAGCACTCCCTCCGAGCAGAGGGTTGGGCTTTTTTAGCTGCCAGGCTCCTTTGCTAAAGGTGGCACTCTTGTCCCCAGCTCACCGTTCTCGATGATGTATCTGACGATGTCCTTGCTCCCTGATTTGACGGCATGGTGGAGGACAGTCTGGCCTGAGGAGTCTCGCACCATCAGGTCTCTTCCAGCTCGATGCAGCTCTTGGAACTACAAGATTCCCAGATTGCTCAGGATGAGTTGCCTTTCCCAGTTCCAAGACCCAAGCCCTGGCACTGTGTCCCTGAAGTGCCTGACAGGTTGTGTGGATATTTGAGGCTGGCGGGGAGCTTTGTCCAGCTCAGCAGTGCTGCCAAGTCCCTTTCCTATGCGTCCCCCAGGAAAGGAACACAGGTTCTTGCCAGAAGCCTGCCTGTTTTCCAGTCACCACTCCTGAAGGAAGGCCCTTGACAGGAGCTGCTCCAGGGCAACTGGGGTTCGCATGGCTGGCAGGGCTTCCCTTAGCCTGAGGGGCATGCCAGCTGAGAAGGCTGCAGGGAGGCTGCCCAGAGCCAGCCCTGGCTGCTCATCACAGCAGGCTGTAGGAGCACCTACCTTGCTGAAGTTGCCACCCTTGGCAGCTTCTATTAGAAGATCATCTGCAAAGAAGGGAGATCTATCAGTGTCAGAAAAGTCAAGCTGTAACACAATTTACCTAATGCTGGAGACAAGGGTTGGGCACCAGAGGTATGGAGCAGTCTGCTAAAGGTACAGTACAAGATCCTCCAGGTGCTAATCCCTTGGTCAGACATGGCTCCTCCACCTTCAGGAATGTAAGGGACAAGTCAGGGGAAAGAAGGAGAAATCACATAACTGGGGGTGCAGCGAGACCTCAGCCCCTGTGAGGTGCATGTGCAGGGGGAGTAGTCTCTGCCCATGAGCAGGATAACTTGTGATGGAAGTGGGGAGCAGATCTCCTGGGCATCAGTCAGCGGTCAAGATACTCCTCACCAATGACTTACTCACACTTCCAGGCTCTGATCAAGCTTCGGGAAACTCTTTCCATTTGCTCAGCTTGGTGAGCCCCCTGTCTTGTGTTCCCACCTCCCCAGTTGCCCAGTGGAGACAGCCTCCCAAACCAGAGCCTAGAGTGCTCAGCTCTGCAGGTGGGAGATTAACCCCTTGCCACATCATTTCCTGCACAGTGGAGCTGGGAAGGTGCCTGCCTGGGCTGCTCCACTAGTCACTGTCAGGTGTCTCCTGCCCACCTCTGGAGTCACCTGCCCTCAGGGCTCCCTGCTCCCACTAGCACATGGGCAGCAGGGCTACTACCTGCTCACCAGGGAAAGAACTGGCCAAAAAAAACATGGCAGGAAAACAAAAAAAGCATGACCTGAGAGGGTGTGACAGGGGCTGGGACACAACTCACCTCTGTGTGGGAGGCAGTGCTCAGGCTCAGCGCTGGAAGGGAAGAAGAAAAGGTGTAACTAACTCCGCTAGTCCTGGCAGCAGATCACCCAGAAGTACACGACGTGGGTAGAGGAATGGTTGTGGAGAAACCTGCCTGTGGCACTCCTTCAGCAGGCAGGAGGAGAAGCAGACCAAGAGACTGTTCTTTGGCCATGCCATCTACTTCTTCCCTGATCTGGGTTGTTCCCCATCCCCACTCCCATTTCTACTGCTGCTCCTAGCTCCATTGCTCTTCCATACCTGAGGCTGGCCTTAGCTGGACTGAAAGACACCCATGTCTTTTGCCCCAGGTGCTGGAGCTTTACCCCAGGCCTCAGCCACCTGGTGATGTTCCACTGCTTATAGCAGCACTGGCAGAGGAACAAGGAAGACAGGATGGCATCTCACCCGTTGGTTTAATTCAGCACTGAATTCCTGCTCATTTCCCGGGAGCCCCTCTGTAATCTGGCCCAGCGATCAATGTTGCGAAGCCAACCCTGCTTCTCTCATCACTGCCCATCCTTCCTGAGGTACCCCATTCCAGACTCACCTGGGGGCAGGAGAAGAGGGTGGAGAGGAGGAAGAGGAAGGGAATGCAAAGTGGTGCCCAGGGGGTGTGGCAGATGAGTCCACGAGGTCGGGCATGGCAGGAGAGGTGCTCACAGTCTGGGTGATCACTAGCTCTGGGTCCAACACATAGAGCTCATCCTGAGAGATCTCTGTCACATAATTCAGGTGCTCCTGAAAGACACAAGTCAGGCCTCCTCAGAAGCAAGACTGCCTTCTGCATAGCTCCATCCCCTCACAACCCATGCCTTGCAGTCCACCCACTTGCTCAGCAAAGTGGTGGCTTGAAGAGTCCTGTGCCTGGGAACCTTCACATCTCCTTGTCCTTTTCAGGCTTCCTATCGCCTTGCCAACTTATCAACGCTGTAAACCTCATCTCCATGTCCTCTTCTCCAGATCACTGGGGAAAGCATCTAATGTTGGTGAAGATGACCCCAGTCAGTGAGTTCCCTGACCAGTCTTGCTGTGTTTGCTATTCCTTACCCACTCCACTCTAGGGCCCTGTGGGCAGCTTCCAAGCCAAGGCTCTGTGCTACCAGCCACACTTTCTCTCTTTTCTCCAGGAACCTGGAGGTGCTGGGGCTGGTCCTGAACCAGGCATGTCATGCCATCCCCTGGGGGATGCCACAGGGCAGGGCAGCAGTGCGAGACCTGCGTGACCCCAAGTCTATGCCTGCCTGTTGGTCTGCATGAAGGTGGGACACCCAAGCACCTTTCCAGCAGATGCCAGGGGGATGATGGTGGAGGACGAGGCTGCACTCACCTGTGCACGGTCTATCCTGTAGAACCGATTTGCTGTGGTTGCTGTAAGACAGGGACAGAACGAGACAGGGTGATTCTTGGTGTGAGACAAGGGAGACAGCCACTTTCCACCACTGAGTGACAGTGAGCTATCCAGCCACTTCATGGCTTGCACAGAGGGCACAGCAAAGCAAAGAGCACTCCCTGACCAGGAGCTAACAACTTCCCTTTGTGACTCTGTTGCTTTCTTCTTCTTGCCTCTGTGACCATCATGCCTCTGTGAAACATGCCTTTGCTTCCTATGCCCCCCTCAATGACTCCTGGCAGGGAGCTACAGGGAAGGTAAGAACACATCTAGCTGATGCCATGGCCTTTCTGGTGGCTTTTGTGTGCTCCACCATTATCCTAAGCAGATGAAGCTCAGGACTGTGCAGTGCACATCTCAGCATTCACTTACACCAGGTGAGGAACTGCTCTGATTAACACGGTGCACCTTGTCGCACAGTGCGCAGAAGTGGGGGCACTACGGGGGGCTGGGAGAAGGGGGAGCTCAGCCTCCTGCTGACTTGACTGAGTAAGGTCCCACAGACTTCCATGAGGCCATGCAGAGCATGTGACTGCAGGTACAACAGAGCATGCCACCACCAGCTGTAGATCCAAGACCCTGTCTCCTAGGATGGCAGGAGAGCTTCAAACCAGCCTCCAGCCTGTCTGAATGGAGTCCTCTTCCTTAGAGAAGAGATCACCACAGGGGAAGAGGAGGTCCTACAGAGCAAGTGGCTATGCTAGAGCCAGACACATGCAGCCACCACTGCTGGTGGAGCAGGGAGGGGTTGAGGACTTCGGACACCACCAAGGGAGAGCAGGACAGGTAAGAGCACAGTGCCAAGACAACTGGGTTCCCATGCAGGGCATCAAGCATTGCCCCTATGTCCTGCCAGGCTGCTAGTGTCAGTCCAGGAGAGGTTGCTGTCATGGGACCCTTGGGGCCCCAAGGAAGTCTTTCTGCAAACAGAGTCAGGATGTGCCAGAGCAGACGAGAGAAATGAAAGAGTCACGTTTATCCTGTCCTGGCTGGAGATTTACAGTCAGGGAGCTACTGTTCAAGGCCTATAATTTAGCCACTTGAACGAGCCTGTGCTGCGTTGAATGAAGCTCTGGCATCTGACACATTTTTCCTACTGCTGGGAGATTAGCAGGAGAAGAGGAAGTGGCCCTGGTACAGCAGCCCTGGTAGTGACACGTGGGAGCAGCAGCACCAGCAACCCCACATGCAGGGCTGGAACCTCAAAGGGAGAAATTGCATCCTCTCTGCCTAGTACGAGGTTTCCCAGGCCCACCTTTCAACCCATGGCTGTGCTCTGCTGTGCTCTACACCCTGCTGCTGGGAAGTCAGGGAGATGAAGTGCCACCAATGGGCATTTCTCTCAGCCAGCTTCCAGGTACAGAGGGAGCCTCTTAGTGAAGGCAAAGGGAGAGGAGAAAGCTACTTTTCTGGCAGGGAGGAAGAAGCAGCCAGAGCTCAGCAGGGAGCATGCTCCCCTACAGCACTGGGATGCTGATGGTGTGCCTGGCTCCCAGCATGAGGAGCAGGGGGGCCCCCTGCCTGCATGACACAGGAGAGCAGCCCTAGCAGAACACAGGTTGCCAAGCTGCCTTCAGTCCGAGGGCAGGAGACCAGCAGACATCCCTTGCTTCACTCCTGGTCAGCAGTCAAAGACATGGTCTGGGGCAAAGCACTGCTGTGCTCGACCCCAACATCCATAGGATCCAAGCATCACATGGCTCCCTGTGGCTTGTCACTGAGTATCTGTCCTCTCATCCCCTAGATTCACAGAATCATCAAATTGTTTACGTTGGAAAAGGCCCTTAAGATCATTGAGTCCCACTGTTAAACCAACACTGCCAAGTTCACCACTAAACCATTTCCCTAAATGCCACATTTACACATCTTTTAAATACCTTTAGGGATGGTGACTCATCTGCTTTCCTGGGCAGACTGTTCCAATGCTTGACCAGCCTTTCAGTGAAAAAATTCTTCCTAATATCCAATCTAAACCTTCCCTGGTACAACTTGAGGCCATTTCCTTTTACCCTGTCACTTGTTACTTGGGAGAACAGGCCAAATCCCAACTGGCTACAACCTCCTTTCAGGTAGCTGAAGAGAGAGATAAGCCTTAGCCTCCTTTTTTCCAGGATAAACAACCCTAGCTCCCTCAGCCATTCCTCCTATGGCTTGTGCTCCAGAACCTTCACAAGCTCCATTGCCCCTCTCTGGACATGTTCCAGCAACTCAATGTTCTTCTTGTAGCAAGGGACCCAAAACTGAACACAGGATTCGAGGTGTTCCCTCGCAGTGCCAAGTACAGAGGGACAATCACTGCCCAAGTCCTGCTGGCCACACTATTTCTGACACAAGACAGGATGCCATTGGCCTTCTTGACCACCTGGACACAATGCTGGCCCATATTCAGCCAACTGTTGAACAGTACCCGCAGATCCTTTTGGCTGAGCACTTTTCCAGCCACTCTTCCCCCAGCCTGTAGCAATGCCTGAGGTTGCTGTGACCCAAATGCAGGACCTGGCACTTTGCCTTGTAGAACCTCATATTGCTGGCCTTGATCCACCAATCCAGCCTGCCTAGATCTCTCTGCAGAGCCTTCCTATCCTCCAGAAGATCAACACTCCTGCCCAACTTGGTGTTGTCTGCAAACTGACTGAGGGGGCACTTGATCCCCTTGTTCAAATAATTGATAAAGCTAATAAACAGGATTGGCCCCAATACTGAGCCCCAGGGAATGCCACTAGTGACTGGCCACCAGTCGGGTTTAACTCCATCCACCACCACTCTCTGGGCCTGGCCATCTGGCCAGTTTTCTACCCAGTGAACAGTGCAGCTGTCCAAGCCACGAGTAGCCAGTTTCCCCAGGAGAATGCTGTGGGAAATGGTGTCAAAGGCTTTACTGAAGTCTAGGTAGACAACATGTACAACCTTTCCTTCTTCCACTAAGCAGGTCAACTTGACAAAGGAAGAGATCAGGTTAGTCAAGGAGGGCCTGCCTTTCACAAACCCATGTTGGTTGGGCCTGATCCCCTGGTTGTTCTGCCTGTGTCGCATGATGACACTCAGGATGAACTGCTCCATGACTTTTCGTGGCACGAAAAAGGCCTGTCGGGTTGACAGGCCTGTAGCTCCCCAGATCCTGCTTCTGGCCCTTCTTATAGATGGGCATCATATTTGCTAACTTTCAGTCAACTGGGACCTCGTTAGCCAGGACTGCTGGTAATTGATTGAAAGTGGCTCAGTAAGCACTTCTGCCAGCTCCCACAGCACCCCTGGGTGGACCCATCCAGCCCCACAGACGTGTGTGTCTAAATGGTGTAGCATTTCCCCCTGGATTATAGGGATTTCATTCTAGTCCCTGTCTCTGTGTTCCAGCTCAGGGGGCTGGGTATCCTGAGAACAACTGGTCTTACTATTAAAGACTGAGGCAAAGCAGGCGTTAAGTACCTGAGCCTTTTCTTCATCCTTTATCACTATGTCTCCCCCTTCATCCAAAAAAGGATGGAGATTCTCCTTAGCCCTCCTTTTGTTGTGGATGCATTTGTAAAAACATTTTTACAATTTAATCTGGCAGTAGCCAGATTAAGTTCTCATTGGGCTTTGGTCTTTCTAATTTTCTCCCTGCATAAGCTCATGACATCCTTGTAAACCTCCAGAGTTGTCTGCCCCCTTTCCCTTCTCCTGAGTTCCAACCAAAGCTCTGTCTTCAGCCAGCTTGGTCTTCTTCCCTGCCAGCTCATCTTTTCGTACATGGGGATGTATTTCTACTGAGCCTCTAGAATTTCCTTCTCAAAGCATGTTCAGCCTTCCTTGACTCCTTTGCCCCTTTAGGACTGACTCCCAAGAGACTCCATCAGCAGTCTCCTCAACAGGCCAAGATCTGCCCTACAGAAGTCCAAGATGGCAGTTCTGCTGGCACCCCTCCTTATGTCGCCACAAATCAAAAACTATCGTTTTGTGATCACGATGCCCAAGGTGGCTTCCAACTGTCACATCACCCACCAGCCCTTTCCTGTTCACAAACAGCAAGTTCAGCAGGCCACCTTCCCTAGTTGGGAAGGTATGTCAGGAAGCTACCTTCCACACACTCCAAAAACTTCCTAGACTGCTTCATCTCTGCTGTGCTGTACTTCCAGCAATCATACGGTAAGTTGAAGTCTCTCACAAGAACAAGGGCTGGTGATGGTGAGACTTCTCCCAGATGCTTACAGAATACTTCATCTGTCTCTTTATCCTGGCTGGAGTCTATAACAGATTCCTACCAGGATATCTGCCCTGTTGGTCCTTCCCCTGATTTTTACCCATACTTAACCCTACTGTCACCATCATTAAGCCATAGACAACTGAAACACTCCCTAACAGTGGCTACCCCACTGCCTCTCCTTTCTTGCCTGTCTCTTCTGAAGAGTTTATAGACATCCATTGCAGCCTGGTTGCGTGACTTGTTCCACTACGTCTCCATGATGGCAACTATGGCAGTTTCCTGCTGCACCATGTCTTTTCAGTTCCTCCTGTTTGCTACCCATGCTGCATGCACTAGTGGAGATGCACTTCAGTTGGGCTACTGATTCCACCACCTTTTCCACCACCCTAATTCCTATGCCCTAATTCTCAGGTGCCTCTGTGATTTCTAACCCACCAATAGCCTTTGCATCTTTGCTGCCACATGGATCTCCCTCCTCTACTTCCACTGGGATGGCAGACCAAAGGACCTTGCTAACGCATCATCAGACACAGTCAACACTCCCAGGGAAGGATGATACTCACAGTCCAGGAAGCACCACTTGGGTGAAAGCTTCTGGAATGACAGTGTCTTTGGCTTGGCTCCATCTCCCTCCTGCATAAAAAAAGAGAGGACAAAGTTGTATCTTTTGGCCTCCCCATTTCTCTTCACAGCATCCCTCCTGCTTTGGGAGGTTCCTGGAGACACAGAGGACCACAGGTGCTTGGATGTAAAGGAGAACTTGAACACGGGCACAGCACAGAGCGACGGAGAGCAGAACAGGACAGACTGGAGCCAATGCACACCAGCCCACTGTGGAGAGGTGTCACAAGACGAGCCCATGAGACTGGCACAGTGGACATAACAGATGGGCCCAGTGGACAGAGTGAGGCCATACACACCTGAAAGAGCAGGCACTCTAAAGCAGAGGGCTGTGGAGGGAAATCCTGCAGAAAGGCAAGGTGTGCTGTTACAGTCTGTGTCTGGCTGGTCCCCCAGCCCCTCTCTCATCCCATTGGAATTGTTTAATGTGCTGACATATCTGGCTTGACCAAGGTCCCTGGTCCCTGCCTGGCTTTAAGGTCAGAGCACAGGGGATGTCCAAGGAGAGAGAAGAGGTAAACCGTGAGGTGACCAAGGAACACCACCCTCAGTGCACAGTTTTAGAGATGCAGGAGGTAGCAGAGGCATCAGTCTACCGTGTTGACACTATAGGAAAGTGTTACCCTCTGAGCCCAGGAGCCACGTGCCCACCTGTGTGTCCTCGCCAGTGCCTGTGCACAAGGTGAGCAGGGGACAGACATGCGGAACAGGAAGAAAAAGAGGCAGATGACAGTGTGCCAGCCCAGGCAAGCAGCTCCACAACTCAGCCCTGCAAGACACTACGCACACGCTGGATAGGATTCCCTCAGGCACAAGACTCAGCTAACTGGGGACTGAGCAATGTCCCTTCAATCTTCTGGGTGAGAATCAGATTGAGCAGTGCAGCATCAGGAGCCACACTATGGACTCAGAAGGCATTGCTCACCAGGAGTAAGAGTTACACAGTCTGTGTACAGGTCACAGACATGTGCTAGTACATTGGCAAGAACACAAAAGTTGCAAATTAAAAGAGTTGGAGGGGTTAGAAACCTAATCCAGGCACCTGGAGAGGGCAGAGTTGTGCCAGGAAGCACAGAACCTGCAGAGGATTGAAGGGTGATAGACCCCCACAGGATGGGTGTCTATTTCCACTATTCCATACATTCTCTGTGTCACTGACACTCTGGGCTTGGAGAACACAGTCAGAAGAGCAATGTTGAGAAAGAAGCTGCCAAACAGCAGGGAGCTACAAGCCATCCAGCTTGGGATCCTGCCTCCACCACATGGTGAAGGCAAACCACGACCTGAAGCAAGAGTGTGGGTGTGTGGATGCACGAAAGTCAAGAAAGTTTAAAAATCCTTTCCCTGAACCCCTCCATTCTTGGCATCCAGCCACAACCACTTCATACACAGAGACTCACCTCCTGCAGCTTCTCGATTTGGGTCCGGCACAACTCCAGGTCACTGTCTCCTGGAACCACGATGATCCCCAGGGGCACAGCTGCATGACAGGGCACAGACACAACTCAGGGAGCAGCCCGTGCCCCATCCCCAACACCTTGTGCAATTTAACTACAGCCTTTGCCAGACTTGGGTACTGAAGCTCCCGCCCCTTGGTCACTCAGCTGGTCACTCACAGGCTTCCTTGAGCTTTTCCTTGTCATAGTTCAGCGCCTCATAGTCGCGCATGCTGATTCGGCTCACCCGGATCCGCAGCCGCTCGGGCACTGGCTGCTGGCTGTGTGCAAGGGGGAAGGAGACGGAAGAGATCAGAAGGTGACAGACCACTCTCTCCTTATCTCCCTCATCCCTCCAAAACAAGCAAGAGCACAGTGTTCTACAGACTGGGTGGGGAGCTTGGCATCAGCAGCTTCTCCACCACCACGGTCTGGCCATATTTCTGTGACTTGATCCCTTCCCAGACCCTCTACAAAAAAGAGGATTGAAATGCCTCCATGAGTTATGGATCAGTCCATCCCTTCCCCCTCCAGCCGTTCTTCCCTGGAGAGAAGGTGGCAGATCGATTTGAGGAACCTACTCATTGAGCAGAGGCATGGAGTTGCGCCGCTTGGTCTTCTGCACCATGTTTGCTTGGTTGCGCAGGGAGATGTGGATGCAGGAAGCTGCCAGCTTGCAGGGTTCTCCATCCACCTGCATAGGGATGGCCTTGGATGTGGTGAGAACCACCTGCCGGCACTGACAGAGCCGTTCCCCATGGCCACCGACCTGCAAGGCAGCCTGTGAAAGGGTCCATTGTGAGAGTAGAGCATGGACTCAGGGGTGGATGAGATGAGCACCCACTGGCAGCTAGATGTTTTAAGTGAACCAAGTTCTGAGGGTCTCAGGCCTGATTTCAGAGAGAAGGGACCCACAGAGGCCAGGGCATGACAGCACCTCACCTAAATGTCAAGAGAGCAGACGCTGTCGCACAGGCCAACACCACAGCTTCTCCAGAGAGGATCTGTGGAGTCGGCTGACACCTGGTCAATGGGACCAGTCACTTCCTTAGTTGTTAGCTACAACTGGCAAAAGCACTGACTTACCAGGGATGTCATGGTGAAGCCAATAACTTCAATGCAACCATCGTCATGGCGCTGAGGTTCGAAGTCATGGTGCTCTCCAGGGTTGCCCCAGGGCATGGTGCCTGCACAGTACCTGTGAAAAGATGGTAAGAGATGCATGGACAGGCACCCCAAACCCAGGCAGGGATCTGCGGCACATGGGCGAGAAGGTCAGCATATGAAGACAGGTCCTGGGACTGCTCACCTTGGGATATTCAGGAAGACCAGGCACTGGGGCTTCAGGTCCTGAATCTTGGAGGTCAGGTCTGTCCCATCACACTGGAGACAATACAGAGATGTTCAGGCTGCTTTAAGGGGGAGCCTGGTCCATCCTACCCACTTTGGAAGAAATGGCCTCCCTCCTCTGCTCCCTACAGTGACTGTCCTCCAAGTCAGAGGAAGCTGATGTCCCAGGAACATATCCACTCCCCAACACTGAGATACTCAGTGTGCCAAGGGACCACTCCTCACATCTGTACAGCTCACCCCTTCACTGCACCAGAGCACCCCAGCATACTCACAACCAGCCTGACATGCTTTGCCAAGTCCTTGGAGCTCCCAGTGAGGAAGTCAGAGAAGGCCGTCTGCCAAGGTAAGAGCCAGTGTTAGTGTCCAGATGTTCACCGAAACGGGCAGCCAGGAAGCCTGCCACTGACCTGCAGATCTCAGCTGCTGAAAACCACAAATCCCCTTTTCATGCACTGGCAGAAGCCCTCTCCTCCTCCTGTCCCAAAATGACCCGATACATTCCATTTGCTATATTGCCTACCAGAAACCCTGGGGCACCTTCAGTAACATGCCTCAGTATTCCCTTGCCAGCCCAGTTCTGACTTCAGGGAAGAGTTGGCAAGATGGGTCTCTGCTAGCAAAAGGCTCAAGTCACAAGAGACAAATTCAGTCTCAAGTTGTAAGGAAGCATCACAAACCAGAGTTGATGTGACACCATCTAGAGATACCAGGAGGGACAGTATGGGTCCCCTTTGGGTTTAACTGTACAGACAGGAAGAGAGACGCAAGCAGGTCAGATGTGAGATGGCACAGAGCAGCATTTGGCCTTTAGTATGCTCAAGTACCAGCCACCCAGACACCTGGGTAGAAGGTATATTGAGGATGGGGAGACAGAGGAATAAAGGCAATGCTGAGATGCAATCTAGAGGTGAGATACGGGAAGGTAGTATAATTAGCCAGGGAGCTGTAACTGGCCCAAGATATAAAATAAAAGAACAAAGTATTGTGGGGACTCTATGGAAAGGCTTCCTTCCTCTGCAGGGGCAACAGCCTGCCTCCCCACAGCTCTGGGGAGGTCCTGCCTGGGTGACCAACCGTGAGCCAGAGAACAAGAACAATAGTGGCAGGAGATCAAGACGGCAACTGTACTGCAGGCCATGGAGCAAGCTGTACTGCCAGCAGCACTCGCAGCCAAAGAGGAGCTGTGACTCCCAGCGCTGCAGCCTTTCCCCAGCAATCCTCCAGCTTCAGGGCGGGTGAAGGTCCATGTAACTTGGATGAGTGAGTTTAGGGGGCAGACAGGAGGCAGGTCCATGCCTGTGCTCCAGATGTTAAGGATGCTATGAAGGCATGCTCAGATATCCTCCACACACTCACCCCAGCATAGAACATTTTATTCCGAAACCGGCTGTTGAACTTCTCCGGGTTGGCCTCTAGGGAAAGGATAAAAAAGTTCAGGTCATTGGCCTGCACATGGAAATATTTCACTTGCCAGCTCTCCCCAGACATAGTTCTCCAGCCAGCCTTGTCCAGGAGTCAGACCCCAGCTCTCTTCCTGTGCAGGCAACCCCTCTTGCCACTCTGCAGCCTTAAACTGCTCCTCATGTTTAACGTTCAGGTCTGTCTCTGGGGAAATCCTCTTGTTCACTTTCCTGAGGAACCCAAAAAACACGAACGGGTCCATCCCACAGACCCTGCCCAAGCCCTGCCACTGCCCTGTACCTCGGGATTCATGAAACTCCAGCGTCACCCGTGCATCAAAGCCAAGGCTGAAGTAGTTATTAAAGACATCCAAAGGCAGCTGAAATGGAAAGGAGGAATAAGGATGAGACTGCCGGTGTGTGGCCGTGGCAAAGATGACGTCAGGTTACAGCAGAGCCACGGACAGTGCTCATGAGGCTGAGGGAGCCTGTTTGCCTTCTCCCCAGGAAAATACAGAGGTTACCAGCATGAGATGATGGATTGGTCCCTGGCTCCTAGGCCCAGGGGAACACACTCTGCTGTCTGAGATACCTGCAAATACCCATGTATCTGCTAAAGAAACAGTCTCAGAGGGGACTGGGTTTATACCTGTTGCAAGCTATGGTTAAAAACCATAGACATTTAGTTCTGAACTCTACATGCCTTGCCATGAGCACTGTGACTCAGAGTCATGATGAGAGCAGTGAAATTGCAGGAGGGAGAGAGAAACACCAACCCAACACTCTAGCCCCAGGTGCTAGGGCTGCCTGAGCCAGTGGGAGAAAGGAGAATGCAGAACCCCAGCACAGGAAACAAATACAGAGAGGAGTGTCCCACCTTGTCAGTGGCTGCCTCATCCTTTTCCTCGGGGTTTGTGTCAGGGTTTGGCTCCACATGGAGGTTCCAGCGATCGAGCTGCACTATGTTCCCATCTTCTACATGAGACAGGATCTTGGACAGAGGTTCATCCGTGTAACCCTGGCGAAGAGAAGGACTTGGTGAGTCTCATGCCTGCCTCCCACAGATGCCCCAGAGACAGCAGGCTTTGGTAAGACATCCCAGAGCATAAGATGTAGAAGAGATCAACTCTACTTGAATGCACAACAAAGTGGGACTTTAAATTTAAAACAATATCTCTTCCTTCTAAAAATCTCCTGAAGTTTGAAATAGTGATTGCTTTTGTTAACATCCTACTAGACTATTATCTAATGCAGAACAATTCAAATGTTAGAAGAATGGTAACATCTAAATGGCACTTATTTGTTGATCTGTTTTTATGGGAAGTCACAACAGTAGCCCATGCAAAATCCCACCCATGTGTCTGGAAGAGGAGTTGAAGTGCTCAGCCCTTCTCTGTCAGCAGTGGGCTCTTGTGCCCATCACTTACCCCACCCCAGTTCAGTGTTCTGGCCAAGTCATTCCCTGTTCCCAAAGGTAGGATGGCCACAGGAGGAGGTGGGTTGATCCGTAACTGGTCCAGAATGGAGAGTATCCAGCCCACCTGCTCAAGCAAGAGAGTGCAAAGGAGCGGTTATTTCAGGGACCAGCAAGCAGGCAGACGTGGCTCAGAGCACTTGCGATGGCAGAGATGGGGTCCCCTTAGCCACCACCAAGGCTATTCAAAGTCTTTAATGCTCCAAACAGGTGATGCAGGAGATACTAGTAACCCCCGTGAAGATACTGGCCTCCTAAAGAGCTACAAATCCAGACATGTTACAGACTATCACTCCCTGAAGCAGGGCATAAGGGCACCCACAGTATCCAGTGCCACAGTGCACAGTTTGCCTCATTCTGGATTACAATAAGGAAGGGCTGCTTCCTGCACTGGAAGGGCATGGGGCAAAGGGCATCACAGGCACCAAGGGCCTGGGGACTCACCGTGCCGTCTCCCCCACACGCCAGGATCCGGAGGTTGTGGACTTTGCGGTACAGCTCCAGCCTGCAGGGAACAGGGAGGTTAAGGAGGGAGGGAAGAAGTACTGAAGGTGTTACGCAGCAGCTGCCTCACAGAGCCCTTGGTATTCGCAAAGTGTCTACTCTCCCATTGCCACAGGTGTTCTCAACAGTGGGCAAAGCCACAGTAACTTTGGTTTCACCAGCTCTTGCATAGGAAGAACGGAGTGTCCGCAGGCTGTGCACACACAGATAACCCAAGCAAGGAGACAAGACTCACACAATGTTAATTAAATATAAGGAACTAAGTCTGGGAACCTCACCCCATAGATAGTCTCTTTGCCACTAGCCTTAAGACTAGACCAGCCCTCCAGCAGGAATCACCGACTGACCACAAGCTATCCTAGAGAGGCCTCTCAAAATGTTTGGAGGTCTCTTTGCAGGTGGGAGCTATGGAGCATCAAGCAATCTCTGGGGCAGGGATGGAGGAGAGAAAGATGCTGCCTCCATCAGTACTCACGCCTCCTTGGGTCCACCTTGGCTGAGGTCAAAAACTTGCCGTGGATTGAGATACCACATGAAGGACTGGATGATCTTGGCTCCCTATGGGGAGAAGAAAGACATCAGGTAACAGGGAGCTCCCAGTGGACAGTGGAAGAAGGCATCTGGTCCTGGGGACAGCCCAAGACAACATCACTCTGAGAGGCACAGAGGCAAAGCCTGGCCTAGGTAGGAGTTGCTGGGCAGAAAACTGGCATTGTGGTGATTGCCGTGCCTCTTCTGCAGCTGAGACATCACCAAAACCATGATGAGACCTTGGCAGTCAAACGGCAGTGCCCTCATGGAGATGCTTTCTCAGGGAGACACTGGGCAAGGCCATACCTGATTCCCACCACTCTTGGGGTTCACAAACACCAGTAAGGGCTTCATAAGAGGAGCTGGCATGGGTTTGATGACAAAGGGTTTCCACCTCCCTTCCTGCAAGAGACACCACAGGTCCTTCAACAAACCTGGGAAAACGCAAACTCCCACCTCCAGTTGAGCCCTAACATCACGCAGGTCAGAAGGGTGAGGAAGAGAACATCCCAGTCACCCCATAAGCCTCATAGCTGGAATATACCCTACCAGGAGGCATCTGCCCTCCAGCTCAACTTCCTTAACCTCAGCACAGACCCAGCAAAGCCCCCTTTGTTTCCCAGCCCTGCTCCTCACTGTTCAGTCCCTCTGCCCTTCCAAGACAAGGTTATTCCTTGTCCCCTGATCTCTTACCTCGGCCCCCTTTTTGCTGGATTTCCGCTTGAATGATGTCCTCTTCTTCTTCTTACTAGATTTTAGTGGATTCTAGAGACAAAAGAAATAAACATAGCAACTCCGTAAGGAGCCACTGGGCAAGTGGGAGTTGAGAAAGAGTCACAAGAACCAAGATGACTTACCTGGGGCCGTCGGACCCGCAGAATCCAGGTGGGAGGAACGACGACAGCAGCATGAGCCCCCAGCGAGCAGGGCTCTTCAATGTGTTGCAGCATGAAACATGACACTTTGCTGTGATACTGGGGAATGAGAAGACAGAGAGAAAACTCAGCTGCTCAGTTTTCTAGGGACAGCCACCATCTTCTCCCAGCTCCCACATGCCAATACAAGGAGTGCTGAAGGAAACCATACAGAAATTTTGTAATGGGAAGGCAATGAAGAGAAAGTTTCTAGTTCACAAATATCACATTACAGCCTCAGTCAGTAGGAGGAGCTGTTAAGGGTAGGCTGCAGATAAGCAGCCTGGGGAGTCTCAGCAGAAAGCAGAGGTCATTAGGTGCAGAATAGGCTGGTCAGGCATTCTATGGGGGCTTTGCTCACCGCTTGCTTGCACCAGGAACAGCTGATGGCTACAATCTCTTTACTGTGGAAGGCAAACTTCTGCTGAAAACCCTGTGGAAGAAAGGATAAGAGGTTTAGGGAATTCCCTCAGGGTTTTCTACCTTCCAAGAAGACTTTCCCACCACTAAGAGAGACATTAACAAAGAGAGCATGTCTGCAGCTGGAGCCCTCTAGATCCCTGTCAGATAGCCCCAACCACCACTATGGCACCAGGGAGGTCACTGTGCTCCGCAGGGGTGTCCTTAATGCTCAAAGAAAGCATGACAGGAAGACAGTCTCCTTCAGGATTGATTGGGCCCAGGGGGAAAACTACTCTATGTGGGAAGCACTTACATAGTGCTTCACTGAGCAAAACAGAGCACGTGTCTTGGTTTTACTGCCAAACAAGAACGGTGGGATGTCCCTGGTTCCCAGCCCTGTTCTTGTCTCTCATTTGACCTTAGATTTCCTGAGGCTGAGAAAAACACCCCAAGATACCTTCTCACCTTGCCACACTGCCGGCATTTCCCTTCCTGCCGCCTCCGGTGCACCCAGTGATGCCGGACAACGATGGGCTAAAGGGAAAACAAAAAAAGAAAAGAAAAAAAAGGGGAATGAAAGGCCCAGCATGTGAAGGAATGCAGGAACAGGCAGAAATAATGGACCCAAGCCACCCAGGACCACTGCTCTTGCAGCAAACCCACTGCTCACAGGCACCAGCCCCAACCCTTTGAGAGAAGGCAAAGCCAAAGAATTGGTTGGGGGCATGAGGCCAAATTAAGATGCTCAGAGAAAAGGGAATCAAAACCAGAAGAAATAGGAAGGAGGAGAGGGAAATTGAAGACTGAAAATCACAGAAAGCAGACCCAAGAGACAGGGGACAAGCAGTAGCACATCTCAGTCCCTTAACGTCTCGTCCAGATGCCCCTACTGCCAGGTGAAAAACCTGCTGGTGGAAGGTGTGAAAATCCCCAGGGAGACACAGTTTGTGCCCATAGAGAGACAGAAGTGCTTGCAGCTAAGCAGAGAACCTATCTTCCCCATTCCTCTAGGACAGCGGCGGACCCAAAGCCCCCCACACCCACTTCTCCCTGCTCTTTGCCCCAGGACAATCCTGCAGCCTGCCTCAGCCCCAGGGTGGGCAGCAAGCAGGCACCTCTACCCTGCCTGCAGGCTCATGGTGGGAGAGGGCTGGGACTTGCAGGAGTCACTTGCAGTGAGGGACTCAGAAGTTTTGTAAGGAAGCACCACATGTCCTAAATCCCACCCTACTCTTCCAGCCCTGGATTAGGAATGGCACTGCAGAGCGAATAGCAAAAACAGAAGAGGGAGTGAGAATTCACAGGCTGTGGCAGGGCCCAACATCCTGCTCCTGACAGCTTTTGGGATCATGATGACAGAGGCACAAACTGGCAGGAGGTTTGGGTCAGCTCCAGTGTTGCCTGCTCTGAGTGCAGCACACTGGAGAGGACAAAGAGACCTGTTGGCTTTAGTAGACATGAATCTAGTAGGAGCAGAAGGGGGACTATGCCTTGAGCTGAACTCTAAGTCCCAGCAGGCATATCTAAGGAGAGGGTTGACCCCGACTGAGATCCCTGGCACCACAAAGGCCAGAAGAGCACATTTCTAGGGAAATGGGAAGGAAGAGGCCTTGAAGGAACTGAGAAGCATTAGAAAGACAGGATGGAGAAGCAGAGTTTGAGAGAAAAAAAAGAAAAACCAAGAAAGGGGAGAAAAAATTTGTAGAGTTTGGACAGAAGAAAAATAGAGACAGAAGATTGAGCAGAGGCAGACAGCTGTCAGCAGAGCCCTAAAAATAAGTGAAGCACAAATAGGTGAGCTAGGCTAAGAGTGATATGGGAAGGAGATATGGCAGGAAGAGCAAAGCAAGAAAGGAAGGTTTAAAGTGATGCTGAAAGCTTTGTTTTCTGATGTCACATTGGCATTTGAAAGCAGGCAGCCCTGTGTTTGAATACCTTTCCCCTACTGCATCTGCTGTGCCAGCACAAACACAGTGTGAGGGCAGCTGTGTTACCATTATGGCCCATGACTGAGCCATCCACACCCACTCCAGAGCACTGCATGGGCTACACTGACTCCATAGGCTGGAGGGTGAAACATGAAGGCTGACAGTTGCTTCCATCAGTGCAGCTCAGCAGACAGGTCCCAGGCCACCTCTTACACCCAGTATCTTAAAACATGGGCTAAAGTGGTCTGATAGCACCGCTGCAGGCATCTTCCACTGCTACCTGCAGTACCTGTGACACCCCAGTCAGGGCTGAGTGATAAAGCAAGAAATGAGCCCATACTGCTTCCTTCCAAATTGCAGACTTGGGAACCTGCTCTTTGCAATAGCCCTGTCTATTGTGCCTGGGGACCAACATGAGGGGGAAAGTTTATTCCAGGAAACAGTCTGCAGATTCTCGCCATGCAGATTCAGGAACTTCAGAACATGCTTTACATTCCTTGTCTGCAAGCTCCCCACTCCTCACACTCAGTCTGCACTGCTGCCTGGCAAAGAAACATTCCTTTTACTGCACCACCCCCTTGGAGCAGGAGGCAGCATGATGCCTGAACTCTGATAGGCAAGATGCTGGCAGCATCTGGTGTCTTTGTCACCACACTGGAAAGAGCAAAGGTAGATGTGGGCAGTGTCCGAGGCACATCTCTCACCTCCCGTATGTTCCGGGATCCTGACTCCCTGAAGGAAGGTTTGCAGCGGAAATTTATCTGCAGATTGAACACACATGAGAGGAATCAGTAAAACCGTCATACCTCAAGGCAACCTACTGGAGTTTACTGTACTACAGCAAGGCCCAGAACTTCTAGAGCTGTTTGGTACTTGCTGCAAAACCCTCACATATCTCTGTTACTGAACAAAATGGGGCCAAGGGTCCCAATCATGTCACTCCTTTTGGTACTGTCTCCTCAGAAGACCCCTCTTTGCAATTACACACTGCAGTTCCCCAATCTTCTTGTCTTTTATTGCCAAAAAGGAAGGGCTGTTACAGTTTTGTGAGCTGCAGAGAGGGCTCAACAGGCTCTACTCACTTTCTCCAGCTGTTCGATGCAGGGTGTATGCACTACAATCTTGCAGGCTGCACACTTACGCCTGGAGAGCGGTTTTTGCTGCAGGATAAGAAAAGGGGAAGAAAAACATGCATGTGAGTGAAAACGCGCAGTGTTCCGAGGCCGGCAAACTCAGCCTCCCATCATACCTCCTTCATATATACTGGGATACAGAACACGCCCCATAGTAAAGTTAGACACAGCCTAGACTCCTTGCAAGTGAAGGGATCTAAGCATGTGCCTACACCAGATGCTCTCAAGCCTGGCACAGAACAGAGAGGTATTTTCCCCACTGTCCTGTCCTGCAGTTCTTGGCCTCTTCTGACACTGCCTGAGAGCACCATGGCAGCTGGTCTGGGAGGCACCTGCAGGGCTCCCCCAGTAAGCCCCATGAACAGGCAGTCACATCACTGCTCGATCCTACATCATAAGTAGGACTGAACCTGCAAGCTGTGAGGGAGGACTGCAGCAACCCTGTAAGAACAGTGCTGCCTGCAGGGGCTTGGGTCTCCAGCACACATTTTTGTCCTCCATTGAAAGGTCTTGGATTCAGATTATCCTTATAAGGGTGTGGGATCCTAACACCCTCTCCCTGGAATACTCTGGGCAAGTGGCAGCCCTGCGTCCGGTTCCTATTGCAAACTGAGCACCAGCACTGGCAGAAACTACAGACTCAGCCCTCCAGTGTGCAGAGGCAGGAGGGACACACTCCCTGTCTTGGCAGCTCCCCAGACCTCTGCATGTCCCCCAGCAGCAGCAGTACAGACTCCATTGTCACTCATCACGTGACAGCCCAGCCTGCATCTTCAGCCTTTACCGGGGAGGTGGGTGATCCCAGGTGACTCACCAACAGCTTTGCCATGCAGTTCTGCTCCCCAACATAGCAGAAGTCCCCAGAGACGTTGGTCTCAAACCAGATGTGCTCCCCATATATCGCAGTCTCCTGAAAGGCACAAGACAACACATTTCTCTGAGAGCACCCCCAGACAGGTAACCGAGCCCCTAAAACGCTTTATGCAAGGGACAAGATACTAGACAACGCTAGGGGGTAGGAGGTTGGAGCTAGGGGTAGGCCAGGAGACAAGATGCACACAACAGAGAGGGACAACATCTGGACAGAGGAAACCTCACAAAGCTGCTGCCATGGCCAATCTGTTGGAAATGAGAGGGCCCCAGGAAACTAACTCCTACATCCCAGTTGCAGTGCCCTGCACAGGGGAGCTGATTCATCACCCCCTGAGAGGAGGCATCGGGACAAATCCAGTGCAGGGGACTCTCCTGAACCAGCTTCTGCTCTACAACCTCAGGATGCAGCTTAAAGCCTGCCAGGCTTTGCCTGCAAAGGAGCAGGGACTTGCTCCTTGTTGCTTGGCCCCAGCCACCAGATCTCAGCTGTCAGAAGCAGAAGAACTGGCAGCGGAGTAATTATGTCATACTCCCAGGAACCACTTGTGTCTGCACAGCTTCTCCTTGCAGCATCAAGCAGTGCTGCCAGCAGCACAGACATTGGCACCAGCTGGTGGCAATGGCAGAGGCCATAAATGTGTCAAAGTCAGTCACCTGGGAAGCCTCAACCTGGGAAGAGCCTTCTGCTTCCTGGCTGGGAGCCTATTCCATGCAATGCCCAGCAAAACGAGTTACAACTTACGCTCCAGTCCACAGTGTTGCGTATCTGCCTCTCCGAGTCGCTCCTCAGGGCTAGTGCAGGGTTTGGCTGGGCTATCATGTGCTGGAGGCTGGATTTGGCAATAGCTTTCCTGGAAGACACAGCGAGGCTGGCTATTAAATCAAGGTAGGAGGAATAACAATCTGCTTCTAAGACGCAATGTCAGGCTGGAGCAGACAAGCTTCCTCAAGACCAAGTGGCTGGAAATGAGGCGCATCTCGAGCACAGCTGGCTGAGGAGTGCCTGTTCCTATGAGACAGCTCTGTGGGATGAAGAGGTGCTGCCCACATTGCTGACAGCTCAGCTAAAGACACCTTGTACCCAGCAAAAGGCACAGCCTGGGCCTACTGGGTCAATGCCCTTGGGGATGACAGTTCCACTGCAAAACACCCTGGAAGTCTCCAACAAGCTGTGGTGGTAAGGCTGCCTTTGCAGGGACAATCCAGAGCCCCTGGCCCACAGAGGCTCCCTGCAGCTCTCCCATACTCAGGCACATCAGAGCTTGGAGTTCTTGCAGGGACCAGCACAACCAGCCAGAATAAAAGCTGCTGTTTCTTTGGGGCTAGTGAGCTTCTCCCCAGATGCGCTAGGGTGGAGGAAAGGAGCAGGTGATCCAGCCAGCAGGAGAAAGCGTGCACCTCCAGCCCACAACCAGGCCTGCCATCTCCCTCTGGCCCCAGTCTGGCAGGAGAGGACAACCGCAAACTCCAAGGGCTGCACTGAAGCCATCAGCAGCAGCACTGGCCTGAGTGGAAGATGCTCAAGGTATGCCAGCAGCACTGCAAAACACCAGTGGTAACCAGGGCCAAAGGCACCGAGTCCCTTCCCTCCTTCCCCACCAAGCCTGAGTCTGCATCCAATTTCTCCCCTCCCCAAGGCACCGATCGCCATACATACAGCAACCGGGGGCTCCAGCCATCCGGGGCAGCGTGGCAGGTGGACTCCGGTCCCAAGCCCTCGGGGAAGGTGGCAGAGGGGCACCCGGCTCTGGCCACCCCTGCACAGTGTTGGGCCAGCAGCCGTGGGTGGCTGGAGGGGAGCAGCCCAGGTCGGAGGGGATCGCTGGAGCGCCGGCGCTGGCTGAGGCGGCGGTAGCGGCCTGGCAGGCCGTAGGCAGCCCGGCTGTACACAACCTCGGTGGGCAGGTGGTGGGAGGAGGAGCGCCGCAGGCAGCGGGGGCCCCATGACAGCAGCCCCCCCTGGAGTGGCCGCAGCTGGGGCAGCATGGCCAACCATGTCTCCTCAGCCCAACGCTCATGCTGGCCCTGCTCAGCTTCTGCTGCTGTGCCACCATCCTCCAGAGACTCGGATTTGGAGCTGTCAGCATGGGGAGCCCTGTTCCCCTCCTCTCCCATGGGAACGAGGCTGGCCAGGAGGGCAGAGGGACCCAGCAGTTGGGCATCAATGGCTTGTGCCTGGCCCCCGCGCTTCGCCTGCACAGCAAACCTGGGGCTGAGGCAGGGCGGCGTGGTGCTGGAGCGTCGGCGGGTGCCAGGACGCCGGACCAGGCCCAGGCAGGAGAGGGATGCCTCTGGAGTGCCTGAGCCGCGGCGGCGCTGGGCCAGCACGGTGGAAGGCAGCCCCACCTGGGAGCGACGCCTGGCCTTGCCTGTGGGCACGGCCACCACGCCGGTGTGCCGCAGCCTCTTCCGTCCAAAGTGCCGCCTAAAAAAGGTTTCCATTGCAACTGGATGGTGGCTGTTCAAAGAGACCAGGAATTAAGTAGGCTCCCCCACGGGTCCCCAGGCCAGGCTGTGGGGGTCAGGGCAAGGAGTCAGGAGAAAGCAGGGAACAGAGGACTGAAGCAGGGAGTGGGGGACATGGCAATGCCTCCTGGGGCACGTGGCAGGGTCCTGCTCCCCACAGCTCTACTGCTCCCTGAGTTTCACTGCTCAGCCCAGGGGGCTGCGATGGCAGGGCAAGTGTTCCCACCTAACTGGAACCCTGCTCTCTACTGTGGGATCAGCAGAGACTCTGCACCCCAAGGTGCCAATGTGTCCTGGCACCTCAACTACCCCCACTGCTTTCCTGATGCTGGTCCATCTGGTTTCCCCACAGGAACCACTCTGGCTAAGCACTAGTCCCACCAAATTTGCAGCAAATTGAAATTAAGCCCTTGTGAATCCTACAGAAGAAAATGAACCAGGCAAGTAAAAGCAGTGCAGGCAGATTTGGTAGATCTGGCTAGCTCCAGTGCTCCCCTCTTCCAGAGCTAGTGCTTTGCTTCCCACCTTCTGGCTGCCACCTCTCTTCAACTGGTAGAGAGGATTTATTCAAGGCCAATTCAAAAAACCCCCACAGTTTGGTGGAAGCAAACTTCTGGCTCTTCAGCTGCTCCCAAGGCAGGGGACTCTGGATCATGGCAGCCTGCAAGCACACATAAGCCACCACCACCACTCTCAAGGATTTCAGTTCTGTACAAGGCATCTCCTGTACCCACCACAGGGTATGGGCATGGGGCTCACCACTATGCTAAGACTGACATCTCCTCCACTTGCTTCTATCTTCCTTCTTTCTTATACTCTTTTACACACTCACTTGCAGGTCAGCAATACCAGAGAATCTTCAGGAGAACACCCTGGTCCAAACTTTTAAAGTCCCAAGGCCCACACAAATAGGCAACCTTGTCAGAAGCTTCTTCCCTTTTTATTTGGGAAATGCTGTAAGATGGGACATATTTTATTTTCTGGACAAACTAGAGTTTTTGATAGTGCTTGTAGCACTAGGGGCTGTACATTTTTTTTTTTTTGAAATGAGTACAAAGCTGACTTTATATTTTTGGAAAAGACCAGGCTTGGTTTGGATTCCTCCAGCCTGGTGGGCAAGGAGATCAGCTCTTTAGTTTGTACAGTCTCATCACCATGCCTGTACTCAGTAATGTAGCACAAAGAGAGAAGGAAGGAAGGACAGCGACGGCCTCCAGAGAGCAGCATCAGGGCAGCTAAAGCCTGGCTGAACTGAAAGCAAAACCAAAGCATCACCTCTTCAGAAGTATTTCTCAAGTCCCACCACTGCAAGCAATGCAGGCAGGCACTTGGTCACCAGAAGGTTCAATCCACTGAGGCCCATGCAGCTTTGCAGAGGGCAAAAGCACATTTTGCTGATGACCCTGATTCCAGCCTGTCCCCAACACTGTAATGCTTCATTCCTGTCTGCTGCCCCCATTGTCTGCAGGACGATGCACAGTAAATTGCATAGAATCTAAGAATCCAGACTTCCCCCGTACAACTTGAGGCCATTTCCTCTTGTTCTATCACTTGTTACTTGGGAGAAGAGACAGACCCCACACGTTGCTACAACCTCCTTTCAGGTACCTGTAGAGAGCAATAAGGTCTCCCCTGAGCCTCCTTTTCCCCACGCTAAACAACCCCAGCTCCTTCAGCCGCTCTTCCTACGATTTGTCCTCTAGACCCTTCGTCAGCTTCATTACCTTTCTCTGGACATGCTCCAGCACGCCAATGTCCTTGCAGTGAGGAGCCGAAAACTGGACACAGGATTTGAGGCGCTGCCTCACCAGTGCTGCAGCATACAGGGAGACAGTCACGTCCTTAGTCCTGCTGGCCACACTATTTCTGATACAGGTTAGGATGCAGTTGGCCCTCTTGGCCACCTGGGCACATTGCTGGCTCATGTTCAACCGGCTGTTGACCAGCATCATTACCAACAGGTGTTAAAAATTGTCTGAACATATAAAACATTAAAAAATGCAAGTGAGAATGCTGCTTGGATGTGGCACACTGCAACAGATCCTTTTTGGCTGGCTTTAGCTGCTGGGGGAGACATAGTGACCAACTGCACCCCAAATAAGCTGAACAGCTGCTCCCTCATGTCCCAGATACTCCACCAGCATCAAGCTGCTGTGGGCAGGAAGATCTCTCAACACAGCTTCCTTCCTTTTTGCACCACAGTCTCGTGAGGAAATCTGCTAGAACAACCTTGGCTTGACATTTATGTTTGAGTACTAGCTGATTACCAGCCTTTTTATCTTCAGGGCTGTCTATAAGTGGCACACAGCCTCAAGCTCCAACCACCAATGGTGAAGGTTATTACAAGACAACCCTCTGACAGCCCATGACAGCAGGACACGGCAGCTCAGATATGTTGGGTGAACATATCCCCACCTCTTGCATCTTACTTCCAACCTGAGCTCCAAATGGTGTACTGCAGGTGTTGAGAGCTGCTGCTGGCAGAGCAGATGGACAGACTGCCAGGGGTGCTCAGGGTTGATACGCATCAGCAGAGCTGCATGCAGAGCAGCCAGGGAACCACGCACTGGGCAGAGAGGAGCCTGAGAGGAGCTAAGCCCTGGAAGCCCCTGGCCTAACAGCAGCATACTTCTGGGATCTGCACTTTTTGCCACTGAGAAAAAGATGGAGAAGAGCCAGCACCTGTGGCTGCTCTGCAGATTGCATTGCTCAGCTCAGTTAGGTAAGGAGGCTGGATGAAGGCAGCCTGGCATTTGCAGGGTACAAAGGAAAGGAAGTACTGCTATGTACACTAGGATATCAAATCTACTTATCAGCAGATACGTACTACCATTTCAATCTCCTCCTGTGAATAAGGAAAGAGACAGCAGCTCTGGTCTGCTCATGATTTTCAATCAGAGCTCTTGGGAGGTGTTTTTTTTTTTTTGATAACCAGAGCCCTCAAAGTCTCCTACACTCCCAGCCTGATCTCAGTGGGCAGACACACTGCTGAAGCAGGAACATGTCCTCGCAGGATCTAAATGCCCTTGGAAAGTACAGTAGGGACTGAAGAGGAAAAACTTGCTTCTTGTAACTTCAGTGGACACGGAGCTCATGGATCAGCTGATTCAGAGACATCTCTCCAGACATCCAACAGCCATCCCTCATGTGGTGGTGGTAGTCCTAAAATCAGACAGGCTGACTCCCAGGGCTAAACATGCAGTGTCCATCATGGTATAACCTCTTGCCCCCATCAGGAGGAGCACCTGGATATTCAGCTCCATTATTCTGCTTTGCTTCACTAGCCTCAAGCAAACTCCCATATACTAAACTGAACAGGCCCTCTGTGCCCTTAGATACATAGACCGATCTTGTGCCATAAGCCTGCTTGGCCCTTTCTCCACAT